AAAAATGTAACGTATATTATCTTCAAAACACGTGTTCAAAGGTTAATATTTATCAAAGTCAATTGAGTATCGCACTCAAACATATAAATAAGCATTGTGGCACATAATTTATGGTCCCAATAACGTTATAAGGTGGTAAAATCATTACCCTTCTTTCAAAAACGCCGCGAGTGGGAAAACGCGGACCGATCGGAGCGTTATTAAATTAGAATCATAAAAGTGAAGCCTTAATGTCGACAAATATAAATAAATCAGTGTTACGGCGGCCATTAATGGCACCGTGAAAATGACTACTTAGTAACGTTTTTTATAGGTGTTGTAAAATTAATAATAATACACAGACGTGTGATCAATATGAAGATTTAATATTGTAGGTAGGTAATGTAGAGCCATAAAGAGCAGAGTCTTATAAAAAGTTCACTTAAACTTACAATAATTTTAGATTTGAATAACAACATTTCATGAATCTGTCCTCAAGAATAGACACAACATAATTATGACTATTATAAACATTGAAATGAAAACAAATCATGAAACTTTGCTCGAGTCTGAATCGAGCTTTGATTTTTTATCAGAACCAGATCAGTCCAAATAATATTTTTTTGTTGTAAATAAATAAGTTTACTTGACACCTACGAGTATAACTGGACAATTCTTCAATTTAACAAATAATAGAACACAAATACTTACATCATACATAACATTACCATATACCAGTAAATCTACTACATTGTAACCATTTCTAATATTTATTTATAAACTTTCACGACGTGGCCATTACTCATACAGCTGCGCACGATTCTGCTCTTACCCTGCTTATTAATACAGACAATATTTGCATCCTTAATATTAGCTTAGAATGGTGTCCAGTCATATTTTATACAAATGCAATTGAAAAGTAGCTCTGTATTTTTTGCGAGATGCCCACGCGCATGTGGATATTTAAAAGGTGTAGCATAATTCCTGTGACATGTCGAATAGTATACTACGTTAGTGTGTCTAATTTTATAACTATACCTATTACTTAGTGGGGGGCATTGTAATGCTATCTTGAAGGAGGCAGTAGGTACTTATGAATTTATTCCCTTGATGTATTCACTGTAGACTACGTAGACCCCTGGAGCATTACGTGACTGCACAGGAGTTAAGCTATCGATGTTTGTTAACAAGGTTTACCTAAAGGGTCAAGCAAGATGATCAGCATTAACTATGAAGAGTACTATTACTGTTAAGCTTCTACATACACGTGCCACCTAACTTTACCTGTAGTAAATAAAGATACTATCAAATCAAAACATGTAACCTCATTCTACATTCGCACAATTAAACGAAGCAAAAAGCACATTTACTTGAGATCAAAGATAACCTCTTGCAAGTAAACAAGTGTTTCTTCAATAAATTAGCGCGGGCCGCGCTTAGAATGCCAACTCCCGGTATTAGGTATGCCCGTCACAGCGACGACACCACATACATCAGGCCGGCCACAAATCACTCCATGTTTGGACTCACGATCACCAGTACTTATCTAATGAAATGACTCAAGCATATGCCAGCGGATAAGCAAAAAGTACGACAGGGTGTCCACTGCAAATGGTCGAAAAAATTCCCTGACTTTTCCCTGACTTTCCCTGACAATTTTCTCAAAATTCCCTGACCAACTATGTATACAACATGTCCCAAATTTCAAGGATAAGCCGACGCCACTGGATGGACATAGTCATGATTACTTTAGGAAAAATAATGAAAAAAATCTATCTCAATTATTTTTTAACTTACACAATAAATTATGAAATTCAACGAAAATTGACACCCCTTATGATATTTTACATTAACACGACCACAATTTTTCAATTATTCCTGGTTTTCTGTTTATATCGGCAACTTAAGTAGTGCTGCTGTTCACCCCAACTCTTAAAACCCCCAGAATACTTGCAGTTTTTACACAAAAGTTAATCAAAATATTTTATTTCCTTAAAATTTTGAACGATTTTTACTTTCACACCACTTTGACTCATCGTTTTGTAAAAAAAGGATGAACACTACTGCGGCAAGTTTTTTTAAAGTTGACGCAACTATCTAATATTCCAAAATGGTACTCTAAGGCCTCAGCCTCGAACTTAGCGGGCAGCGGGGCGGGAGCGGCGGCGGCGCGGCAGCGGCAGGATCTTACGCGTGAAATCAAATAGACCGGTTCTCGAAAACAGCGGCGCGGCAGCGGCGCCGGAGCGGGCAACGAGCGGGCAGCGGCGAGGGAGCGGGCAACGAGCGGGCAGCGCACTTCTTCTTTTGCCCACAATAAATCGAGCGTTAGGAATAAATTTGAATCGAAATAAAATTGTCACCGTGTGTGTTCAGACATTTCGTTTGCGAATAAAAAGAAAATATCTCGACAACACAACCCCGAACACAATACTTCGCCGCTAAAGCGCCGCGCGAGCTGCCCGCTTATTTCGAGAACGGGTCTGCGTTGCCCGCCCCGCTCCCGCGCCGCCGCCGCCGCCGCCCCGCTGCCCGCTAAGTTCGAGGCTGAGGCCTAAGAAACCTAGTCGCAAAAAAGATATGCGTACCATTTTTACAAGCACTTCGCTTGTTAGTTAGTATGGGATAAATCTTACAACTGAATTTAAACAATTGAGCTGAAATTTGGTATACTTGTGTAAGTACGATGACAATGCAATATTATACCATTGAGCTGGATGGAGTCAGAGTCAGAGAGACATTGAGATAGGAACTCTTAACGAAACGGCGGAATTGCATCTAGTTTGGGTTCGTTGGACTTGTCTTTTCGAGCACTTTAGTGCTAGATGATGTCCAGGGTCCTGATGATGAAGTCAAGAGGTGGCAGGAGCTGGCCATAGGAAGTCCTAAACGAAACGGCGGAAGCTTATCAAGTTTGGGTTCGTTGGATTTGTCTTCCCGAGCACTTAGGCCATGAGATTGAGAAACAACTAAAAAGTTTAAAAAAAAAAACTATATGAAAGTAATCTAATTATGAACAAAATTGTGTCATAATTTAGATCAATCCACTTCATTAGATAAAAAACTAAAAAGGAGTAATATAATTATGACTAGGGATTGCAATCCGGTATAATTTTCAATCCGGCCGGATTTCACCGGATTGACGCTAATCCGGCCGGATCCGGACGGATCCGGCCGGATTGCAAAGTTACTTGGTCTAGTATTTAGTGATTTTTAGTTTTGATACATATGATGAATAGTACATAAAAAGAAAAATAAAATACGTATTTATGGAAAATAAAGTCACTTTTATTTATATTTTTCGGTATTAATTGTAATTTTTGGTAAGTACGTACTATTTGTACTAATAAAATTATGAAAATTCTAAATAATAAAGTTAGTAATCAGTCTGACTCTCACTTATTGCTGTATGTATCTGAAAGTACTTAAGTAATAATACTATTAAACTCTTATTAATAATTTACACAGACTTAAATCAACAAAACAGTCTTTTAAATTTGTACTTATAAATTCAACTTCAGTTCTTTTTAAGAAATAATCTGACTCCTAAGAAGCAATAAAACAAGAAGCATTTATTTTTTGCAAAGGAAAATGCAATGTAGTGTCGCAGCACGTCTAGCGATCTGGAAAATGCGCGCGCGCTTGAGTTTCCCAGTTCACGTTCGCGTATTTTTTGCTTTACCGGATCCGCCACCGGATCCGGCGCCGACTCACCGGATCCGGTAGGTCCAAAAACACACCGGATCCGCCGGATTACCGGATCCGCCGGACCGGATTGCAATCCCTAATTATGACTAAAAACAAAGTCATAATGTAGATCACTCCAAACCTGAAAAAAAATTGCTTCGATAGTCAAGATCAAAGGTCTTTCTAGAGCATAAATTAATTAAATCCCTTATTTTACAATCACTGGGAAATTTCGGGAGACAAACAGTGTTTTGGTAGACAAAATCTCAATGTTTCCCTGACTTTCCAGGTGACCCCTCTATTTCACTGACTTTCCCTGACTGCTATGAGCTTCCCTGACTTTTCCCTGACTTTCCCTGACTTTCCAGAATGTGGACACCCTGGTACGAGTATTCGTAAACATTCTCTGGTCAATTTCGAAAATTGAAGTCTGCGAATTTTTTGCAAGTGAAACTCGTTTCGCTGAAACTGGCCAGCAAAACTTGTATACTTAAAATCAAATCAATTGATACCATCTTACTTGGCGACACATTAAAATTCAGCGTTTGGAAAGTAAAATCTGTAGAACAAGACTTTGGTGTCAACAATTTAGAGAGAACAGTAGCCAGAACGAAATAAATATCTATCATTGATTCCATTTTTATCCCATCGGAAAGATAAATGTCTCAGATAGCATATTTAACATATGAACAACATAACAGAATCTGAATCATCTTCACTATTGAGCATAATCGCCCACGCTTCGGAATATTTAGATCTAAAATGTCACTAACCGTTTCGTCACTTAATCGCCATTTGATTAAAAGAGATAGTTTCTTATAGATTCTAATGTCTATCACATAAAATTAATCCTAAAATAAGTATGCGTTTAGACCATAATCGAACTATAGATCATTAGCTTTAGTGTCAGTGACAGAGACAGAAAGATCTTTTTTGTTTAGGCTTAACAAAATAGTGTGAGTAGTACTTTATGCAAGAATAAGATGGAGAGAAAATTAGTATGTACTTGTTTAGGTCTTGTCACGCAATACTTCTACATCGTTCACACTCAGATCACGTTCACTACAAGGTTTTGCTAAAAGGATATAGGAAAATATTTCTTCGTTAAATTCACCTACATAGCTATGTCCACTAAGATTTAGATGCAACTGCCGATAAGTTCTTACGGAGAATATACGTGCAATCAGTAGGGCTATTGGTCACACACATGCGGTAAGGAGCGACTTTTGTAATATATTTAATGTTAGTAATTGCTTAAACCATACCATTTTGTATAAAATCATGATAAAGAAGTAAGATTCAAAGCGGTAAAACAAGTCCATTCCGATTTACAGACAAATGTTCCCACAAATGAAGTTTCGCGTCTCTGGTTTGGACGCGAAGGCGAAATACATCCTTCTACTTGACATCGTCGCAGCCGACGACTACCGATATAAGTTCCACAACAGGTAGACAATCGCCATTCGATCTCGATGCACTCGGCATGGATTTCGCAAGCATTCCTTCTCGTTCCATCGTTCGGGAAAAAACGTAATCGGAAAGAGACGGAGTGTTTCGAAACAATTGACTGCATCCGATCCTTATGCCTGCTGGGACGCCCATCATTCCACCTCATAACCAAACTGGTGATTTGGCACAAACCAAATTGTCAGCTGAACACATCATGTCGATTGGAGACGCACCATCACCGTACCGTTACACGCTTGTATTCTTTAGCTTGTGATTCAACCCACGCATGCACTACTTCCCATCACAACAATTTCGATGCGTCTCTTAATTGCGCCTAAACAATTTGTAAGAACCACGCTTAATTTAAGGTCAACGACTTTACGAGAAGCGAACACCGACTGGAATCATCGGACGATTAAGGATTCAACTCACATCCAATGGGTAATATCATTAAAATATCTTTGTCTTAAATGCCGCTAACGTAAAAAGCCGGCGACGCGACACCCGGAGGTGAGAAATACGGCCGCGATATGTGTACTTCGGTAATCTCCACTAACTACGCTCGTCTAAAAAACAACATCGGCTCGGATGTCTACGACCATCGGGGGCGCATCCACGATAATCATCTTATTTGATCGTGTACATTGTTTAATTCCCGATGACAAGCATCGATAAGATTCGTCTGTCCGCTTTACGTCCGCCCGATCGACGAATATCAAAACCGCCGACACGCAGGTTTGGCAACATCGAGATGTGGCCGATAAACTTCGATTTAATATTCGTTAATTAATACGACCCGAACATTCCGGCCGAAAATGCGACTGTGAGTCAGCAGTAAACCGATATACGCGCCGACAAAGACTCGCCCGCCTAGCGCTGTTAATATGGTAATTAATTATTACAAATCTCTCTTGGGTGATTTAGTCGCCAATAAATCGTTTGTAAACTCGGTTCGTTCTCGTCTTGTCCAGTCGGAGTCGTGTAGGTTTTCGTGTACCACCGCATTGTGTCACGGCGCGCTGCGGAACTTGACAATGGCAGCGTACCGCACCGTTTTTGGTCTTCTCCGTCGGAAACATGACCTTTTTGTCGGGCGCGAATACCTTGACACCTCACTGTGTTGCTGCGCCGCTGATTAGACGCGATACAAACGAATGCCCCAAATACAGCAGCTCGCGTCACATCTCCCACCGGGCCATTCCGAACTCAGTGGTTTACTCGGATATCTGTGCTCGACTTAACAAAAACAAACTAATTAACGCGGTACAAGATCACAAGCTAAAAGGAACGCTTCTCGGGAGTAAATGGATGTAAAAAGTGAAACTAGTCCAACAACATGTCTTACAATCGACGTGATGTCAAATCGTTGTCGCAAAGAACGAGTCCCAACCCATGTTTTTCTCTCGTGTTGCTTGCAGACGTATGTTTCCTGCCTACAAAGTTCGCGTTTCTGGTCTTGATAAAAAAGCAAAGTACATTTTGCTAATGGACATCGTAGCTGCCGACGATTGCAGATACAAATTCCACAACAGGTATAAATAAAGAAATAAAGGAATTAAATTAAAATAAGACATGTAGAGATGACGGGATAGTGACGTACGGTCTTGGTTAATCTTATTTTAATGTAATTCGTGACAATGAAAGATATAAGAGGCAAGAAGCATGCGTATTGTTTACATATTCATGTTCGACTGGGGATCTGCGTGGTATCCGAGACCAATTATTTCGTGCGGGTGCTCGGAGCATCTTCTCTGTAGGTACCATTTCACTTTCGCGGTCGGTCATTGTTTTGCTAACTAGTGGGGCGCCCCAAAGGAGCTCGTTGGAAATTCAGACGTATCTGGTAGTACATGCAATTCTGTAACTGGATTCGCTACAATTTGACGTGGTATCACTATTCTTTAACGCAGATCTCTTTTCGTTCATTATATGTGCATTGTAATGTAGTTTTTTAATAAACAGCTTGTACGCCATTGACTTACAGCATGAGCATTTCGATACCCCCACTCTGATGCATGCAGGTTTTTGTAGATACACCAATTACTGCTCTTTAATTAATTGGTCCGAAGTCTAATGACAATTGATGATATCGCAACACGTGCAAGCACCTGTCTTGCCCGTGGCAACCTTCGATTAATTAAATATTTACTAGAAATATCTGTTTACATTAATAAAGACTTCAATATTTTACTAGAATGTAGCGACGATAGAGCTTGAGATTTATTGCTGATTTGGAACCCAGCGTAGAAACTGGATATTTGAATTGTACTATCAAAAAGCATTATCGATAACTTTTGACGATTCACCATTGATAAATAACAATATCCATTCTGAGGCACTATTAGAAACCAGAAGACAACAAAGCGCACTACACACAGAAGCTGCTCTTGATGGTGACACAATCTTCCTTACTTCTTGTTGTCTTAAAGTCCAAACCAAGATCACAGATCAATAAATCTGTGGCTTCTGTGTGTAAATCGCCAAATTTAACTGTGCCTCAGAATTCAAGCACAAAGTACATTGAATCGCAAGGATATCGATGATCTCCCAAAAAGCAGGACTATATGTGTGCTTTCTGTTCCCGGAGTCGGTGGATGGTCGCCGGGAAGGCCGACCCTGAGATGCCCAAGAGGATGTACATCCACCCCGACTCACCCTCCACGGGGGAGCAGTGGATGCAGAAGGTCGTCTCCTTCCACAAGTTGAAGCTGACCAACAATATCAGCGACAAACACGGATTCGTGAGTACCGCCTTTTTTGTCAGCTTTGGGATCGGTGAAGTTGATTCTAATGTCGTAATTATTTCCAAAATTGTGATTTAGTTTGTTAATTTTGCCAAATTTTTAGATGAGTAGTGTGATTGTTTATACATTTTTGCAGCTTTACTTACCTATTACAAACAAACGTCCGCTGCTTATGAGAATTTTCTAAAGTTTGAGATTACATCAGATATCAATTATAATAACATAACAATATCAACCAAAACACTAATTTAACCTAATCAAAACATTTCATTCCACCGATTTCAAAACGCTTTTTATGTTTGTGACGTCCCTTTTCTGTACCATATTGGAACTATTAATAACGTGTCTACGAGACAACAATAAGTTTTGATGTCAAACCTAAAAAGTAGCAATCGGGGGTATATTTTTTGCCGACAAAAAGTTTATAATGTGGGTGATATTATAATTAACGTGTAGCAAAAGAGGTTCGTGGGTAGGACCCCTGTCGCCGGCCCGCGGGGGGGCATTGTGAGGCCACGGCTATTATGGCTATTTACTTTGAGCACCCATCATCCATGGCGTTTAGTAGCTTTCAATGGGTATTTGTTACGCAGTTTTTTCGCCTTTGATGCATCAAAATATTCTGACGTTCGGATACCGTTGTTTCCTTTGGTATCTTCTTCGGTTAAGGTGGCGTGTAATTCATTTTATCATTCTCAAAGGCTGGATTAAAGTCGGTTGTGTTTTTATATGCTGCCTTTGAGACGTACTAGTAGTTTTGTTTATTCCTCGGACAAAAAAGTTTGAAATTCATTAATGACTTTTATATTGCCTAACTCGACTTGATATGCGACTTAAATAACTTTTAGAGTGAATTTTACAGCTCGTTAAAATCTTAGTAATACTTTTACTTGATTTAGAGTAATTAAACCTTTTTAACTAGACCACCCACCACCTCTCTGAATGCGAGCGATCTGTCAACCATTTCAACAGTGCCGAATGTTGCTGCAACAGTGTCAAGTCTGTATTACCATAACCAGGTTCCAGATATGGCCCGAGCCTGTCAATGATTGGGTCTAGCACGGGCCTGAGCAAGTTTTTAGAAGTGTTCAAGAAATTATTCATTGCCTTTAGTATCAAACATCTTATACATTGCTTGGACATTCTAAGTTTTTTCAATCGTCGCTGTTTGTTTGTTTATAATAAGATGACCTTTTACTTTTTATCACTGCAGAAGACCATTAGTGCCCTCGTTAAAGAATAATTCATGGATGATTGTATTTAAATACGTTTTATGATAGTGTTGAAATTATAATAATTGGATGGAAATTTTATTTGCTCTCATGTCTTATTCATCTTTGCTAGAATTTTTTTTAAATAGTAGCTTTATTAGGTTCGATTACATGAAATTTTGTAATACTTACCTTTTTTCTTTTTTTGAAAATACTGGTCACATAAAAGAAAAACAATGTGCATTTCTTTGTTGTCATTTTGTTTAAAACGGCACCAAATTGGGAAGCATTATTCACAAATATAAATAAATCACTCTTAATCTAATTAAAAGTGGACATTCAAAAAAATGCAGCCCAATAACTCTCTTTTCAAAAAAGCCACTGAAACCGAGCCGGCGCTTTGTAACACAATACACTTGAAGAAGCATTTACACGACCGCGATCCAATCATAGATAAGGGCGACTGTTTTTTTTTTAATTCGGCTGATGAGCGTTTGTTTTTTGGCCTCTTTTTCGTGTTAGGGTCTTTTGTCTTTGACGAAGGGCGTAGGTAATTGAAATAACGACGGTCGCCGCGCGGTATGCGTAGAATTTTGACAACACCTGACTTCTGATACGGCTTGATGTATAATTTTGAAATTGGAACGTGACAGGGCGTTTGGTTTTTTATTCATAAAGATGACGCGGGTTTTATTCAGTTTGCTGCCAGTGTTGACCATAACATTGCTATTTACCTTCTTTTTGATCGCCTTCAAAAAACGTCGAGGTTCTATATTCTACTGAATGTATTTTTTTGTGTTTAGTCTGATCCATCCTGTGTGATCCTGTACATTTTCTAATAATTATCGTTTTTTTAGCTGCACAAATTAGGTAGCATTCAAGTCCTTTTGTTTCAATTGAATATTAAAACCCCATAACGTGTCAGCATGAACTTCCGTCATAGCACCAGGTAGATGGAACCCCAGATAGGGTGATTCTATTTGTTTTTTCGACCCGAGTCATTCCGTCTACGACATGCCGATTTGTGGATGACCCATAATTTTTCAAAGATACTATCAGCTCCTCGCGACTATTAATTTTGTATTTGGAACATCATAAAATAGGCGCATTTGTTCCGACAGTTAATTTCAATTTAAATTCGAAATATTACATAATTTATGAATAAATTCAACATTAATTAAAAAATAATTTGTTGTTCATTCCTTTATCATTGAAGTTACTGAAACCGCAGTTTCTTTTCTGCCTTGAAACTTATCTTCCTAGCCATAGCTCACTGTCTTATTTTGACTAAGTATATCTATTTATTTATTCAGTCAAATGAGATCTACTTCTACGTAATGAGATTTAATTAACAATGGCAATAGAAACATGAAACACAGTTCAATTGTTAGAGACCTTTCAAATCAAGCATAACCCGGAATCAGTGAAACCCAAATAGCACTGGAGCTGATACCGCAACCACAACGGTGCCCAAACGGTATGGCGTTCGTATAATTGAACTATAGTACTATACATATCGCCACTTACGGGCAAGATTTTATCTCCCTCTTAATAGAGAAGGGCCCCAGATTGGCACACGCCCCGATGCGTGCCAAAGGACATCGTTTGATCAATAACTGTATATAAATTACTGAGCATATGTCCTCCGGTGCGCAGCAAGCGAACCGTGGAGGCCTTTGTAGCGTACCTGTCTACTTGTATTTATTTGTCGGACAACCCGTGCGAAAGTTCGGGAACTGAGACAAATGAAGGTTAATAAGCGTGATTCTGACTAGCCTGGTGAACGTCAGATAGTCGGTAAACAACATACTCGTAACAAAAAACCGACTCTATCGCTAGGTTTTGAATTAGGAAACCCGTGCGAAAGTTCGGGAACTGAGACAAATGAAGGTCAACAAGCGTGATTCCAGCCTGGTGAACGTCAGATAGTCGGTAAACAGCGAACCAACTCAATCGTCACGGGCTCTATCGCTAGGTTTTGAATTAGGAACCCCGTACTAAAGTTTGCCAGAAATAAATGAAGGTAAGAGCAAACCGACTTTGAATTATTCTTATTTATATTTTTGGCCAGTACCTCAAGGTATTGAATTAGGAACCGTTTTAGGTACAGTCCACGTGTGCTGTCAATTCTCATCAAGAGATTTCGAATCTTATTTCAAATGTTAAAAAAAAAACAGTTTATAGTAGGTACCTAAATAGGTAGATATCCAAAATCCATTGGGCACCGACTGATGGACATCCTATCGTCAGTCAGGTAGTGATTACCTAGCAAAAAGAGCTCTAATAGATGAAAATTAACGATTTGAAGTCTTAAATAATTTAACGGCTTCCCCTGATATAAAATTAAAGCCCGAATCTAAGCTACAAGTGGTTGTAACTGCGACATCTCTCTTTTTGGGTAAGTTATATTTAGGTAGGTACATACAAATTTAACAACGGTTAATATCATTAACAAAACAAATAACAATTACCGATCCCGATAGTAAAATCCCGTGGATTTTTCTAGAACTAAATATTTCTCATAACATCCTTACTTTTGAATACACGCCAAACAACCATGCTCCAGATACATCAAATCTCCCGATTCGACTGGTCCCAAAATCTGAATCAATAAGTAAGGCTAGACTCTCACTGGTTTTTTCCAACAGCTGCTTCACGACCGACAAGACACGATTCCGCCACAATACACTACTTGAAGCGATTTTTCTGCCTCACAGACGCCGGCTGCGGATTAGTCGTTCACAATTAAAACGGTGTAGACGCCGCTTTACGCCATCTTTCGTATTAAGCTATTGTGCGCCTCAAGATGTTTTCGCAAAAACGGTAGCGGTTGAGATTACATTTTGGGGTGCTATTATGTTCAATTAGATGGGTTACTTTGTTTCGTGAGGTGTTTTTTCGTGTAACTAATACATACTGTGCCTGTGAGTTTGTAAGCATAATTAGAAATCAAGTGGTTAGGTTTACAGAGTTGACCTCAGGTTTGATTAGGTATACTTTCCCACTTTCCCAGTTCTCAAAGGAAATGGAGATCAAGCACTAGTTCTATGTAACTAGTGCTTTCATTATGTACTGATTACAGAAAAAAGTAGATCTTAGTCGTACTTAAGTCTTGAATAAGATCATGGCTATATTTCAGTTGAAGTTGTAACTAAATATTTCGAACTATTTTCATAGACAGACTAGGTATATTATTAGACTGTTGAACATAAACATCTCTCGATATACTTGGCTATACATCTTCAACCAACGCAACTGTTTTTGTCTCCTTCACATCGCAGGGGGCTCCCCTTACGTGTAGGTGCGCTAACTTACATTCAGCTCATTGGTTATCGGCTGAATCAGCTCAATTGAAATGGGACCAGCCCATTGCCACTTCAGTTTGCTTGAAGGAATATTCCCTTCAATTCCATCTTTTAAGTCACATTGATTTTGATTTCTGCGGTTATAGACTCAAATACTCCATTCACAATGGCTTTTTCTCAAAAAATAAATGGTTTACCCATCAAAAGGTTTAGTAGATGACTAGCTTTTATCCACAGCTTTACTCGCTTTAGAGTAGGCGCACACCGTGGATTTTTCGTCGGCCGATAGTTTAGTCGGGCAGTTGATCAGTATGGGCATGTATGGGAGTGCGCACACTACGCCGATTCGATTAGGCCGATTCTTCATACAAATTAAAATTGGGCACAACTATCGGCCAACTAAAAATCAACGTTGTGCGCCTACTCTTAAACTTCGTCCCCCGTTCCAACTTCTTCGGAGGCGAATTTTGAAAATTCCTTT